AGCCCCAGCGCCCGGAGCCCGGCAGCTGCAGCGGTGTCCCGCACGGGCGCGTGTGTAAGGGGGTGAGTGTGAGCGGTACGTGTGGAAGCGCGAGCGTGCAAGAGTAAGGGTGCAAGGGGCGAGTGTGCATGGGGCTGTGCGCAGAGTGTGTGCAAGTGGAGGTGTGCACCAGGGGCTGTGAGCGTGTGTGGGAGCTATGAGCGGTGCGTGTGCAAGGAGTGCAGGCGTGGGAGTCTGTGTGAGCACAGGGGTGAGCGTGCACCGGCGATCGGAGTGGTGTATATGCAGTAGCAGCAACAGCTTGTGCCCCAGTCTGTGTGTGTGTGTGTGTGTGTGTGTGTGTGTGTGTGTGTGTGTGTGTGTGTGTGTGTGAACAAGAGCACATGAATGAGCCCAAGGGGTGTCAGTGCAAGCAGGTGGATGTGTGTGCAAGTGGAGGTGCGAGCAGGTGGGAGTGGGTGTGATGGAGTCCATGTGGCTGTTGCGCACTGCACGCATGAGCGTGCTAGGCTATGTAGCAGCATCCGTGCAGATGGGTGGGCATGGGTCCAGGCTGGTGTGTGCGTGTGAGTATGTGGCAGTGTGCACCTACATCAGTGTCAGCAGGCAGGTGAGCATGTTAGGGCACAGATGAGCATGAGCCCAGTCGGGTGTGAGTGTGTCTATTACTGTCCTGGCATGAGCTGTGCATGTGTGTGAGACCGCGTGCAAGCCACGTATGTGTATGTGCACACGCCATCCAGCTGTGTCATTCCCTCTCCCCAGAACAGAGGAAAACAGCCCTGTGCCCGGGCCCCTGCCTCTGCCATTCACACGCCTTGTGCGAAGGCTGGGACTGGCGCCAGCAAGGGGCACCTGCACCCACCGCTGGGCAAGTGGGCACCTCCCCAGGGCCCAGCACCCCCACCAGGAGCAGCCATCATGACTTCCCCCTCCCCCCCACTCCCGGCCTTCACTTTGCACGGGGGAAACTGAGGCACAGAACAAGGGGAAGTCCCAGAGGGCCGGGAGGAAAACCCAGGTGCCCGGGACGTTCGCCTGGCTCATCTCTGCTTCTCTCCCTCTCGCCTGCCTCAGCTCCGACCCGCCCAGGACAGACATGAGGGGCCACCTCGTGCTCACGGCGCTACTGTCCCTAGCGGCTTGGCAGCTGTGCCAGGCTGAGTGCCGGGACCCCACGGCTGGCAGGACCCAGATCCAGGTAGGTGCTGTGGGGCGGCTGGGGAGGGCACAGCCCTAATGAGCAGTAATTAGGGGCCCCCTGGTATCTCCCCCCTATTGCTTTCCTCTGGGTCTCATTTTCTCCCCTCTCTGCCAGCTGCTGCTCCCCGGCAGCAGCATTAATGAGATACCAATTAGGACTTTGTCTCCTGATGAGCCTGGCACAAAGTCGCCTCTGCCAGACAGGAGATCACTGCTGCTGTCCATGGAGGGGGGCAGCCTCCCCGACAGGCTGGCTCTGGCTGGGCTGCGGGTCAGGAGTGGGGGGCACCAGCAGGACTGAGGGGGGGGAGGGTCAGGCATATGCTGGGGAGGGGTCAGGGGGATGCGGGTCAGGAGCGAGTGGCACCAGCAGAGTTGGGGGAGCAGCAAGGGGCTGCGAGTTGGGAGTGAGGGGCACCAGTAAGCTGGGTGGGCAGAGGGCTTCAGGTTGTGAGTGGGAAACACTGGCAGGGCTGGGGAGGGCAGGGGGCTGTGGGTCGGGAGTGAGGGGCATCAGCCGGGCTGAGGGGTGCAGGGGCTGCGGGTTGGAAGTGAGGGGCACCCCCCAGGATGGGGGAAGTCCAGGGTTCTCACCCACCCTCTCTCTTCCCCCCCACCCCCCACCAGAGGAGCTCCAGCCTGTTCAAGCTGCCCCCCTCCCTGCTCCGGCGGCTGTACCAGGGGGTCTCCTATGAGGCACTTTTGCAGCTGGCCGACAAAGCCCCAGTGGGTGAGGGTC